ATGTAGACAGGCAGGCCAAACACTTTTTTCTGGAATATGTTTGGAAGGGCAATTCTATCTACACACCAGATTTTGGTAGCAGGTTGATGAATAAGTGAATAGGTGGCTGCCAAAATTTTCGAGGTTAGGTCGATAGTTCAGAAGTGGCAATAAACTCGTCCTAAAGATGTTTCGATTCCCTGACTGCGAATATCACACTAGTTTGGAGCTAAATCGTCTGGCGTCTGCGTTATAGGCGTCATGTCTAGTCATGAGCAAACATCACCTAATTTTGTTGGAAACTGCTCTCAACATTCTTGCACGGAGAACTATTCGCGCGCGCTGTTTAACTAAAATGTATTTGGAAGGGCAATTCTATCTCAATGTCAGATTTTGGTAATAGTTTGATGGATAGATGAGGAAGTGGCTGCCCAAATTTTCGAGGTTAGGTCGAAATTTCAGGATTGCAAGAAAATGGCCCTAAGGGATACTTGACTTAACTAACGATGTCAAGAGCTTTTAGCCGTGTTTCTGGAACGGCAAATGATCAAGCTCGCTGAGGAATCGAGCCCACCACTTCTTGTCTGTAGGTGCCGATCACTGACGCTACGCTTTTCTGCTTCATGACTCCCTTCACGGAAGAGTTCAGCAGATAAAGAGAGCAGATTCGCTCAGTGTTTCAAGGCGCCTGTAGAAATATACACCTTACTCCAATTGGCCAGGATCACTCAATGACCATCCCTGGTATAACGAAATCATGGTTGTCTCTACCGCGTCAATGATCGCTTCCACCCCACATAGTCAAAAGCCTTCTTCAAGTCGATGAGCTTGGTAAGCAGCGGCATCTTATGTTCTTATGATACCTCAGTGAGCCAAAGTGAACATACAGTAGCGGTCAAAAGTGTTCGCCTGAACGCTTCTTCGTGCACATCATTTCTTCCCTCCAGAGGAGGATCTGAGGATTGTTTGAAGCCATGCCTCACTAATATTGAAGGGCACTGTTCGAGTGAGAAAAAATGATGCACGAACAAACGTTTCGGCGAACACTTTCGACCGCTAAGGTATTCACAGTCATACTATTTATCTCAATACCTCCCAAAATTCCAATAAGTTCAAAATTGAAGGTTCTAAATTTTTGTAATGAACCTCCCAGGAAACTTATTCGAACATGAAAAACATTACTCTTCTTTGACAAATGGCCTCGCATGCTTGGAACGGAAGCATTCTGTGGCCATCTTCATCGAAAGGACAATATTTGTTTTGGATTGGCGATTCCTAGTAGCCGTTCACGACACGATGTATCTCGACCCAACACCACTTCAGGTATGTTCATCGGTGTCATTGTCTGGCCAAGGTGTTCGGCCTTGTCGAGTGATTTGGGTGGGCGGTCGAGGTTATTCGTAAGTAAAACCGGGAAGATCGACCGTTATTAAAGCACCAAATCGCTGTTTCTGCACGACCACACAATGATTCTCATCTTACTGGTATTGCTTCCAGCTCTAGTGCTTTCAGATGAGGCAAGGTTAGTTAGGCAGAGCCAGAGGCGATTTTTTTTGGAAAGTTTTCGATTTGTTGGTTCTCTAAATATATGCAGTGGTGGCCAGAAATTCTTACAAGAGCG